TTCGTCAAATTAGCCTAAAAAAAACGAAAATACTGGTCAAAAATTTTCATCAAGAATTTAAAATTGTTTTCATTGTATGTTTGCAAACAATGGTGAAAAACGGAATTTTAGGAAAATTCTTGCTTTTGGTGAAAATTGGTCCCAAACAAGCTTATTTTTTCAGTTCAAAATTTCTATTTTTTCCACTATTTTGTACAGATATCATAATACTTACGGCGATGTGTAATTGCTTCGTAAATATAGTTTCTCATCTACAGTTTCTCCAAAATTCATGAAGAAAGTCAAAAATTTTATAAGAAACAAAAATCTAAAATTATTTTCTCCAGATCTTTTCAAATATTAACGACAAAATCGTTTTCTGAAGGTTGTTAATCTAAGAAGGGGTCATTTTTCTTAATTTTGTATTTTTTCTGTTATTTGCTTCACATATCAAAATATTTAAAGGACTGTAACTACTTCTAAAATAGTTTCTTTTTGTATAAAGTTTCTTAAAATTCGTGAAAGATCTATGTTCAAAATAAATTATTGTCCCGGCGCCTCCACCAATTGTATCAAAATTTTTGAAATCGTTGTTCAGTCTAAGGAGAGAATCCTAGTCAGCAGTTTTTTCAAAATTCGTGATAGACATATTCAAAATTAATGCTTCCTAGGGCAACTGCAACACTTTCATCAAAAATTTAATTTCGTCAAATCGGTCTAAGAGAGAAATATTCTCGTGAAAAATTTTATCAGAAATAAAAATCTGCAATTGTTTACTTCATAGATATCTTTTCATATAAAAACGAAAAAAACGGGTCATGAAACTTATTAAATTTAGTAAAATTAATCAGGAAAAACGTAATTTCCCTTAATTCAAAATTTCGTATTTCTTCGTTATTTTGATTCAGACAAAAAAGGATTTGAAATACTAAGGCAAACATTCTAAATAAATTATTGTCCCGGCGCCTCCACCATTTTTATCAAAATTTTTTAATTCGTCAGTTCAATCCATGTATATAGAGAATCCTAGTCTGAAATCTTACTAGATAGAGAATTTAAAATCATTTTCATTGTATGTTGTTAAATAGTGGCGAAAAATGGGTCTAGAATCCCAAAAAGCTGAATTCATTAATTCAAAATTTCTATTTTATCGACTATATTGTTCAAAGATCAAAGTTTTTTTCTTAAAGAATTGTAACTCTTGTCAATATATATTTTTAATGCACAGTTTCTTCAAAATTCGAAATAAACATATTCAAAACTAATTATTCTCAAGTCACTCCAAAATTTTCAAAAAAAATTTAATTTTGTCAAATCGTTCAATTCTCGTCAAAAAGTTTACAAGGAACAAAAATTTGCAATTATTTTCTCGATATCTTTTCAAATAATAACGACAAAATCGTTTTGTGTATGTTATCAAATTAAAATTCATCGGACAAGAACGTCATTTCTCTTAATTCAAAATTTTGTTTTTCTTCGGTTTCGGTTGTTTTGTTCAGATACAAAAATATTAAAAGGACTAACTAAAACAATAATTCTAAAATAAATTTTCTCATCTAAAATTTCTTGAAATTCGTGAAAGATAAACATTAAAGTTGAATACTTGTTCCAGCACTTCCAACATTTTTATCAAGATTTTTAGAATTCGTCAAATCAATTTGAAGACAGAATCCTAGTCGGAAATTGCTGCAATGTCGGAAATTAAAGTTATTTTCACTGTATATTTTCATAAATAGTGGCGAAAAATCGGCCTTTGCGAAAATCCTTAGTTTTTGTAAAAATTAATGTCAAAAAGCTGGTTTCATTCCGCTCAAACGTTGTCATTTTGTTGAGATGTCAAAATACTAAAAAAACTGTGTAACTGATACATTCAAAATTAATTATTCTCCAGGCAACTCCAACATTTCGATCAAAAATTTAATTTCGCGAAATCGGTGTAAATATGAGATATTCTGGTACAAATTTTATAAGGAACCAAAAGTTTCGGTCATTTTCCCAGTATATTTTCGAATAAAAACGACAAAATCATTATAATTAAGCTAAAATTAATCCGGAAAAATTGTATTAATATAAAATTTTGTATTTCTTCGGTTACTTTGTTTAAAAAAATAAAAATTGGAAAATCGAAAAATTTAAAAATCCAAGCCAAAAAATCGAAAAATTTAGAAACTGAAAAATTGAAAAATAAACAACCTGAGAAATCGGAAAGAAGAATAATTTCAAGAAGTAGTTTATTAAAATATTAATTTTGGAGATAAAAGACGAATTTATACTCTTTCCTTATGTTTTTAAAAGTTGAACTTATTTTTTATTTTAAAAACTGAAAAATCAAAACATTAAAAATTTTGGAAATCGAGAAATTGTAAAATCGAAAAATTGACAAATTCCAAAACTGAAATGTCGGAAAATTGGGAAATCGAAAAATCAGGAAGTTAAAATAGGCCAAAATTGAAAAGTTAAAAATTGAAGATATTACAATTTAATAAATATTAAAAAATTGAAAAATCGAAAAATAAAAAATTTTAAAAATCGAAAAATTGAAAAACCGAAAGATCTAAAAACGAGAAGTTTTTTGTTTCGAAAAGTCGAGAAATCAAAAAGTGGAAAAATCGAAAACTGGAAAAATCGATGAAAAATTGCAGAATCGAAAAATTGAAAATAGTCGATGAACGGAGAAATTTTGAGATTTACCATGCTCCCGACAGTTTTAAAATATTTGCAACATTTCTAAGCACTCAATTTTGAAAATTTAAACTTAAATTGTAAAATGTTAAACAATTTTGTACTTGTTAAGTTATGACTGATTTGAACAAATGACGTTTCCTCTAAGGAATTTACTTAAATTCAAAGTTGTTTCAATTTTTCAAAAAAAAAAAACGGTGTCCCAAAATTAACTCAAAAACGGTCGGGTCAGAATTTTCCAAAATCGCCCAAAATAATTTACAAAAAAAATCTTCATGGACTCCCAAAATAATACACCGTGGGCACCCAAAAGTCGCCTGAATTAAAAAAAAACATATGCTTAAGAAATAAAAATTCGAATGTCCTCTAAAACTCTAATAAATGAAATCAAATCAATCCGTCAAATCAATTTCGAGAATTTAAAATTATTTTTACTCTATATTGTCAAATAATGGTAAAAACGGGTCTTGAGGAAAATCTCTAGGTTCAGATATCAAAGTTTTTCCTTAATGAACTGTAACTATTTCGTCGTTATATATTTTGTTTGCACAGTTTTTTCAAAATTCGTAATAAACACAATCAACACTAATTATTCTCAAGACAAAGACAACTCTAACAAGAGAGAAATATTCTCGTCAAAAATTTTATACGAACAAAAATCTGTAATTATTTCATGGATATACCTTTTCAGATATAAACGACAACAACTTTTTATGACGATTATTAAGTTTAGTAAAATAATTAGGAAAAAAAGTAATTTCTCTTAATTCAAAATTCTGTATTTCTTCCGTTATATTGTTCAGACAGCAAAATATTTAAATCACTGCGTAACAACTTCTAAAGCAAATTCTTTCATATAAAGTTTCTTGAAATTCGTGAAAAGTACACATTCAAAATGGATTATTGCCCGGCGCCTCCACCATTTTTACCAAAATTTTTAAATTCATTCTAAAGAGAGAATCCTAGTCGGCTCAAATATCAAAATATTTAAAGACTGCAACTACTTTCAAAAAGATTTTTTTCATAAAGAGTTTCTTGAAATTTTCCCGGCTCCTCGAACATTTTTATCAAAATTTTTGAATCCACCAAATTCCTGGCCGGAAATCTTTACAATATCGAGAATTTGAATTATTTTCGCTGTATATTTTAAAATAATGACGAAAAATGGGTCTTTTCGAAAACCTCTAGGTAAAATAAAAAATCTTTACAGCAGTCTAAAAGCAAGATACTGTTGTCGAAAATTTGCACAAAATTGTTAATTGGTAATTATTTTCAGTATACGTTTTCAAACAAAACTAATAGCGAAAAATTAGTTTTCAGAAAAAAAATCCAATTTTTTCGGCTATTCGCCTCCAAAATTTTTATTAAAAAAAACGATAATTAATAATACTTCCAGCAAAATATAAATTCTAGGACGAAAAATGTACAATGATTAAACTACTCAACTTTAGTTGGCTATTAACTTTTGTAAAAGATCGAACTGTAGAAAATACATGTACAAAGGGAACATATTTAAAATAAATAATTACTGCCAAAGTCGGTAAGATGTATAGAGAGCTTTGAGTAATCGAGAAGTTTTGGCTTAACAAAGCATCAAGTTGAAGATCTGTGCTTTCGTAGATATATAATGTCCTTAATTATCCTTAACAGCAGTTCCGTAAATCAAAACTACTGCGAAACTTGAAAATGCACGGATTTTGAAATTTTAGCCTAATTTTATTTTGTTTTAAATTCATTATAAATGCTCCCACAGACCAATAAATCCACATTTTTAGATCGCAATTTAGTTTTTATTTTTAAATTGGCTGCAGTTTTGAAGTCACCGGATCGTGAATTTATAAAAATATCACCAAAACATTTCACTATTAAATTATGTAGCTCTTTGTATTGTCCATCAAGTATTATAATAAAAATCTAATTCTACGTAGGTATTTATTTTTTTGTTTTTATTGTTGTTGCGTCCAATGTAACATTAAACATACTACAATCAATATTAATTAATTGTGGTCATTAAAAACGACAAAATCTGTCGCATAAAGTCACATACGTTTAATAATTTAGCTAAAGCTGTCCTTTTATCTAGATAAAAACCCAAATCATAAACTTGGCAAAAAATTATCTGAAACCATTTTTCTCCTTCAAACTCCAAACAAGAGATTACTGTTTCGTTTTGTTTTACGTACACCGCTTTTAGCTAAATCCCGGAATTAATTTGAATCAAATTAATCTTCCTATAAATGTATTAACACAACCGGCTGCAATAATAATTTATTACTTCAGATAACACAAATCCGATACTTTTTCCACCCCAGTTTTATAATGAAAAAATTTACGCCTACCTTACAGCAGGTACTTCTAGGATGTCCCATTCAACGGACATATAAAATTCGGAAAGATCGACCCCCACGTCGACAATGTTGCTCCCGGCCTTCTCGTCCATGTGGCGCAGATCCACCTAGAGAACACAACCCAGAGTGAAAGAAAATCCCACACGTGACGTCACACCAACACACTTATGGCTAAAATGTACATAATATACAATAATAAAAAAACACCTGTAACAAACATGGATACAAAATCGTCAAAACAGCAACAACTAGAAGATTTGGAAAATTTTGACTTCGCCCCGACTTCCACAAATTTAATAATTTTTCACAGATTTCGAATCCGCGCCGAAACTCCATAATTTGTTGGAAAGTGTGCAGTGTCGGCGAAAAATGAGGCGATTTCTTAGCCGCAGGACGAACGCGAAGTCGAATTAATTTCATTTATCAAAAGGAATTTATGTATGCCGTGAGAATTGAGAGAAACTTGCCACTTTTGAGGAAAATTAAACACAGCATGCTGAGAAGAATCGACTCTGACATGCAAAGATTTAGCTTTCGATTTATGGGGATAAGAACGTTTTACTTGTTTTTATTATCGCAGAGGTTTAGAGAAATTTTTACCTGTGCTGAGCAATCTCGCGTGAAATCATCGAACTGACAAAGTTGCGGGTTCGTTAGTTTTTTAAAGCACCAAATATTTCAATTGTCGATTTACAAATGTACGTTGAAATCCACCCATTAACAGCGCTTTGATAAATAAATAATCGCAGAGTTCACGCTGCCAATATTTAACGCAGTAATGATTCCGCTAATTATAATTCGAGATTGACTAAATCAATTAAACAATGCTGTTGGGAGTTATATTAAAAGAGATAAATCCGTTTACGTGAATTTTCCGGCGACCCATCCATATTTCCAGTTAAACTTTGAGCTTAATATCTTAAAATGATGTAATTGAATTTTGTAAACCGAGAGCGAGGGAGTGAATGAAAACCAATGGAAAATTATTCAGATGTTAAAGCGGAGCGTCGTAACGCAGTCGCATATTTTTTTAATTGCCATTAAACAAAAAGTCGTGTTATCTGCTGAAAAGTTTAATTTTCTTCACGAGTAAACTCCAAAATTAAAAGTGTAATTAAATGGTTGAAACAGTGAAGTGGAGTTGGCCGAAAAAGCATCGCACGAATAATAACAAATACCCTTTTTGATGAAATGAAACGGAGTGGAGGCAAGCGGAGGTCTGTTTTCGAATATTCTCGACGTTTGAAAAGATTGCTGCTTTTAAATCAAAAAGTAAAAAAAAATGTTTCCACATTTAGATTATTTTTGTGTTAGTGCATCATTCAGGGTCAGATCAGCTAAGATCATGTCAAAGTCAGGTCAGTTCAGTTAGGCTCAGGTCATAGAATAGGCCAGTTCAGGTCAGTTCAAACACCTAGGACACATCAGACCAAAAGAAGTCACGTAAGATCCGCTCAAGTCAGCTCAGTTCAATTCAGTTCATGACAGTATGCTGTTTGTTAAATTAGGTCAAACCAACCTAGATAGGTGGGGCACGTCAGGTTACGTAAGATCTAGTTAGGTCAGTTCAGATCATAGAATAGGTTAAGATAGGCCAGGTCATATAAGTTAATGTCAAGTCAAATCAAATCAACCTGGACAAGTTAAACCAAATCAGTTCAAATCAAGAAAAATCACACCAGGCTAGTTCAGATCAACCCAGATTCAAATCATGTCAGAATTCTTCAGGTCAAGTCAGGCCACATTCAAATCAGTTTAGGTCATGTCAATCAAAAATTAGCCCAGGTCATAGGTGACGTTAGTTCAAGCCTAGTCAAGTCCGGTCAGGGCAGGTCAGGTCAAGTAGGCTCAGGTTATAAAATAGGTCAAGTCAGGCCAGGTTATGTAAATTCAAATCATGTCAAACCAACCTAGACTGGGACAGATAAGATCAGATCAGTTCAGGAAAACCTAAATCAGGTCATTTGAAGACGAACAATTCAGATAAATGAGGTCAAACCAAGGCAGATCGGATCAGGACACATCAAGTCAATATAGATCAGTTCAAGCTGGCCCAGGTTATAGAATAGATCAAGGTCGCGTAAATTTATTCATTTTAAACCAACTTACAGGCATGAGGTCAAATAAGATCTATTTAGGCCAACTTATTCAATTCAGATCATTTTAGGTCATTTTAGTCAGATCCGATCACAGATTAGATTGGTTCTGACTGGGGCAGCGTAAGTCGGTTCAGAATTTAGAATAGATGATCAAAAATCATGACAGTCAGATCAGTTCAAGTCAGCTCAGGGCACAGATTTGGTTAGTTTACGTAAATCAATTCGTACCAAGCCAGTCGGATCAGACTAAGCCACTTCAAGTGGGCCCGGACCATGGACTAAGTTAAATCATGTCAAATCAACCTAGACCGAGTCATATCAAATCAGGTCACGTAAAATTCATTTAGGTCAGTTAAAATCAATTCAGATCAGGTTACATCATGTCAGTCAGGTAGCTCAGTTGAAGTCAGTCTAGGTCATAGATTACTTATTTTAGATCAACTTAAGTCAGACCAGGCCAAGTCAGGTCAGATTAGGCCAGTCCAAGTTAGCCCAGGCCATAGAGTAGGTGAAGTCAGGCCAGATGATTTATGTTTAAGTCAGATCAAAACAACTAGATAAGATTACCTAGATTCTAATGAGTGCCATTCAGTTCAAATCAGTTCAGGTCATAACAGTCAGATCAGTTCAAGGTAGTTCAGGTCATGGATTAGACTAGTTCAGTCCAAGTCAAGTCGGACCAGGCTAAGTTAGGCCAGATTAAGCCAATTCAAGTCAGTCCAAGTCATACAGTAGGTTAGGTCAGACTACGTCATGTAAATTTAAATCAACTCAAACCAGGTTATACCAGGACAGACCAGATCAGGTCAAGTCAATTCATATCAGGCCAGTCGGATCAGACTAAGTCATTTCAAGTCGGCCCAGATCATGGACTAAGTTAAATCAGGCTAGATCATCTAAGTATATATCATGTTTATTCATGCCAAACAACCTAGACCGAGTCATAACAAATCATGTCACGAAAGATTCATTTAGGTCAGTTAAATTCAATTCAGATCAGGTTACACCAAGTCAGTCAGATGAGCTCAGTTCAAGTCAGTCCAGGTCATCGATTACTTAATTTAGATCAACTTAAGTCAGACCAAGTCAGGTCAGATTAGGCCAGTCCAAGTTACCCCAGGTCATAGAGTAGCTGAGGCCAGCCCAGATCATTTATATTTAAGTCAGATCAAAACAACTAGACCAGATTACGTAGATTCCAGTTAGTGCAATTAAGTTCAGATCATGACAATCAGATCAGGTCAGATTAAGCCAGTTCAAGTCAGTCCAAGTCAAACAATAGGTTAAGTCAGGCTTCGTCGTGTAAGTTTATATCAATTGAAACCAAGTTAAACCAGGACAGACCAGATCAGGTCAGATAATCCCAGATTATATCAAACCAGGCCAGGACAGCCGAAATCAGATCAGGCTAGGTCATTTTAAGACGAACAGATCAGATAAATTAGGTCAAACCAGATCAGATTAGACAAAGCCGCATTAAGTCAAATTAGAACAGTTTAAGCTGGCCCAGATTATAAAATAGCTGAAGGTCGAATTAAGTCACGTAAGATCAATTTAGGTCAACTAAATTCAATTCAGATCAGTTTATGTTATATTAGTCAGGTTCAAGAAAGTTTAGGCCAAGACAGTTCAGACTACAACAGCGTTAGTTGGTCCAGAAAATGGAATAGTGGATCAAATCTGGTTAAGTCAACCTAGACTGTATTAGAATAGATCAGGTTACATAGGTTCCATTTAGTGCACTTCAGTTCAGATCAGTTTAGGTCATGACAGTTAGATCAGTTCAATTCAGCTCAGGTCATAGATAAGGTTAGTTCAGACAAGTCAATTCGGACCAGGGCAGTCAGGTCAACCTAAGCCTAGATCATGTAAGTATAATTTACGTCCAACCAACGTAGGTCGAGTCGTATCAGATCAGGTTACGTAAGATTCACTTAGGCCAGTTGAATTCAGTTCAGATCTTATGAAATCATGTCAATCAGATCAGGTCAGTTCAAGTCAGTCCAGGTCACCGATAATTAACTTAAGTCAAACCAGGCCAAGTCAGGCCAGATTAGATCAGTTAAAGTTGCTCCAGGTCATTGAATAGCTGAGGTCAGGTCAGGTCATTTATGTTTAAGTCAGGTCAAAACAGCCTAGATAGGATTAGACCAGATCAGTAGGTTCAAGTTAGTGAAATTCAGCTCAGATCAGATCGGGTCATAACAGTCAGTCCAGGTCATAGATAAACTTAATTCAGTCCAAGTCAAGTCGAGCCAGGCCAAGTCAGGTCATACTGAGACAATTCAAGTCGGTTCAAGTCATAGAATAAGTCAGGTCATGCAAGTTTAAATCAAGTCAGAGCAAACTAGAATATGACAGACCAGATCAGGTGAGATCAAGAACAGGCCAAGTCAGATAATCCCAGGATATATCAATCCAGATCAGGACACCCCAAATCAGGTCAGGCTAAGTCATCTTGAGACGAACAGATTAGGTAAGTCATCAGGTCAAGCCATATTTAGTCAAACTAGAACAGTTTAAGCTTGTCCAGGTTATAGAATAGTTTAAGATCAGATAAAGTCATGTGAGTTCAAGTTAAACCTACTTAGATTGGCTTATATCAGGTCAAGTTACGCAAGAATCGCTTAGGACAGTCAAATTCAATTCACATCAGTTTAGGTTATGTGAGTTACCTCAGATCATCGATTACTTAATATGGGCTAACTTAGGTTAAACAGGCCAAATCAAATCAGACTAGGCCAGTTCAAGTCGGGACCGATTATGGAATAGACGATCAGGCTAGATCATCTAGGTTCAAATTAGGTTAAATGAACCTAATTCGTATCAGATTAGATCATGTTACGTATGTTTCGTTTAGAGGAGTTCAAGTTAACCTAAGACTAAGATTAGGTTAGTTCGAGTCAAGTCGGGTTGAACTAGGTCAAGTCAGATCAGGCTCAAATCAAGTCAGGTCATGTAAGTTTAGGTCAGATCAAATCAACCTAAAGTAACGTAAGATTCAGTTA